ACTAGTAGCATAGATCGCTCCTCGGATTGTCACTACGACTAAGTATCCCGCAACCTTCCAAATTGATTTCTTGTCCTTCTTCTTCCTACTCTCAACTCCATCTTTTCTACAGAAACGCCGACATCTTCGATTTGAAATTGTAAATTAAGGAGAAAATTTGACTTGAAGATTCCTAGCAAATTGTTGGACTGTGAACATTTAAATGATGTTCCCAATGTTCGCACCTTACTCTTGAAAAGGATATCTCCACCTCCTTATCTTATATTTGCAGAAAATGAAGGAAAGCGAAGAAAAATAATGGAGGACGCTTGAAGAACACTTTATGACACCTAATGCGATTCTTCTCAATGACTACCGTTGTCATCTGAAACCAAGAAAAAGCGCCCTTTCTTCAGCTGCCATAATACTAGGTTGTTGGATAAGTTTGGGTCAGGGAGACAAGAAGTTTTGGCAGGGGAAAAGGAAGCCTCCTCCACAGCAGGATCTTATCATATGATCACGATGCATACGCTGCAAAGTTAATAATCGTAGACTTGCCTAAGTGGATTAGTGGGATTTACTGACGAGCTGTTATAAAAATCATGTGCAGCCTTTAAGGCAATGGTATTTTGCACTAAAGACATCAGGTTTCAAGTTTTCCTTTTCAAGCAGTCAGGTGATTCACCTTTCTGTTACCTACTTTATCTCACAATAAGGTGATGATTTAAGATGTGACAATAATTCTTACAGTCATCAACAAATCAACCCCGGTAGATTTATCATTTCGCAGTCATCGTTGCTTCCACTCCCTCCTCTTCTCTTCATTTACTCATCATGGTCCTTAAATGATCATTTTGTTGGGATGCATATCTTCTTTGTAGTCATCATATCCAAATAAATTACCCTTTTTTCTTGGCTTTTCTAAATGTTTGATTTCTGATCACTTTCAATTAGCAAAACTGAAATCATCGATCAGAAATGCTAATATAAAGGGAGATTTCTTTCAGACGATATGTTGCAAACAACTTCTGGTTTATGAAATTTCTATGATTTTCATACCATCGAGTGATCTCGACAAAATACCACTTTTTAAAAAGTGGAGCGAAGAGGCCCTGTTTTGTGCATTTTGGGAGAATATAAACAGAGCAAGAAGGGAGAAGTGCAGAAGCAGTGCCTGAGGAAGGGAGCTGTTGAAGAGGGGCGAACCGAAAAAGAAGAAGCAGCCTTACAAGGTGGCCGAGGCTGAATTTCCGCCAGCCTCACGTGTTGTTTTCTTTTTGTTTGTGATGGTTTCTGTGACATCAAGATAAAGATTGGTGCCAATCTAATTGATTGATCACTTGGACCACACATCATACCATAGACATCGGACCTACAACATGAATTTTACGACCATTCAACACATCGTATACCATATTTACTTTTCTAAGAAGTGCCTGTATTGAACCATTATTTTTTTTATCCGCCCCTGAATTTCAATTTCTTTACAATTGCACCACTTAAGCCAGCGCGGTCTTGCAAAATTCTACCGGGTTGGCCAAAGCTAATTTGTTATAAATGATTCACTTGAACGCCTAACCCTTCCGGACGAATGAATGAGGCCTGAACATTTGGTAAGAAAGACTTCCTAACGTCAAGGTGTGAGCATATTCTTGAGATTGCTTGTTTCTTGAGCAAGAAACAGCTTGCACCGTTCCGAAAATGCAGTACAACATAGTCATAGCTCACTTAGTCATGAATGAATACCCATCTAAAGTTTTGCAACTCGATGATGCAGAATGCTAACTCAATCGACTATATGTAATCTGCATTTTGATGTGTCACTAGATACGACTCTTTATACTGCAGAAATTTATAAATCTCTATATATTTGTTACCTTTCTCATTTTAAAGCACATGCATACAGAATGGATACGTTTATATGTACCCAGATATAACCAAGGATGGAATGTATCACTCTCATTTCGAAAAACGGGTGCACTGTTGTAGTAGAGAATTAACTTTCTTGCGGGAAGAGCCGCCCTCATTCTCGTTGTAGTGTTTATATAGAAGAGGAAGGGTAGCCTCTTTTATATCTTTTTAAGTTGTTTGGGGGTAACTTCTTCATTGCGGCTGCTCTTAGTGAGCACATAAGGACTGTCCAATAGGCCCCCCACAAGTGACCTGATAGTTAGAGAGGGAACGGTTCTGGAAGATGCCAGAACACTCGAAATGCAAAAATAAGCTATACCTTCGCCTAGTGCGAAAGCACCCTAGCTCCTAAGATCGGGAAGTATGATATCATTCCCAATGTGTCCAAACTTGCTAAATTGTACT